GCATGAGTGCAAGCCATTAGCAACCAATCGACGGTAAATGGTTCTGGTCGAGATGGAATGATCTAGGGTGTCTTGCACATGTTGCAGGATGGCGGTACAAGTGGCTTGTGGGGCCGCCACTGCTTGTCGAAGGATACGCCGATCCACACGTGCTGACGTCACTCTGGTTGCACCGGCATTCCTATAAATTGCCACATTTCCTTGTTCCAACGATCTTCTCCACAGTCGGTGCACCGTGGGCGCACCAAGGTGTGTATCAGCTGCGATTTGACGTATGGACCAACCTGCCCTTTTCAGTCCGATCACCATGCCCCTCGTAAAAGCGTCTGTCTGCTTGAACTGCCTCCGTTTACGATGACCTGGCATTCTCTGTTATTACACGTGTCTTTTGACACAAGAACAAAATTTCTACAATGATTTTCCTTGAAGAAATAACGACACGAATACTGTCCTTTCTGCAAGTTCCTTCCCTTATATCTTACTCCATGTGCGCACGAGAGCTGCGCATTTTACATCATGTGCATTATTCGGTTAGGCGCGTCGACCCTGAAATTTGCATAATTTTCTGGCCACTATATCTTGGTGTTCCATTTTCAATGTCACGCAGTGTATATATAACATGTATAGTTGTAATCTTATTGAAGCAACTCCGTTCTATAAAATAGAAAGAATGGAATATTAGAATATTATTTCCTTTTAATACCTATCAATTATTTCGTTATTCAGTGATCAAGGCTCTTCATCTTTTTGGACATTTTGGAATATTTTGAGGAGTTCTTTGTTTGTTCTTACAATAATATGAACCATCTTAGAATCACAAAAGTCATAGCCCTGGAATCTTTGGTCTCCACAAATCTATCAAAAAAATGTTTGTAATTTCTACAGGTCCTCAAATATCTTCCCGAAAATAAAGACTTTCATTTGAAAGTGAAATTCTCATTGAGTTACTCAATAAAGTAAGATATTATTATTTTTGAGAGAAAATGTATATTTCTTTCCATTTCCCTTTTACCTTTCTTCTGATAATACTTTCATCATAAAATATTGTAGCAAATTATTTATTATTCAATTATCAGAGTACCATTTTTAATGTTTATATTTTGCTACTCTGTAAACTTCCTTCATTGCTTATATTTTTATCATTCATAGTTTTTTCTTGCCATAAAAATTGCTGTGTCATTTTGAAGTTTGTTTTTCCTGAATTTCCACATGGCAATATATTTTTAATCTAATAACATGTTTCTTATTCATAAAAGGTCTTCAATAATAATGTATAATTTTTCTTATATATTTGGGGATAACCTCTTTAGAAATTCTATTGTTCTTGTTTAATAATATGTGTGGTGGTGGAAGCTATATGTGCCCATTACCATTTAGGCTTTTTCCACCAAACTCCCCATAACTGTAATATTCTAAACCATTATGATGCTATTTAGAAAATTGCCCACCTCATAAAAATATTTAGTACAAACTTTTTCCCTCTCCATTTTTTGTAAAAAGAATATCCACTATATAGAAGGGTCTCCCAATATTTTCTTAACATTATTAAAACAACGATATTTCAAAATAGTTTATCATTTTCGCCACATCTGGTTATATAAACATGATATAAATATAATATATATAAACTCAATAATACATAATTCGCTCACATATATGTTCAAGTATTTTTAAATTTCAATATATAGATATATGCTTATAGTTCTAAGACGTATCAATTAAGTCTTTAAACAAACTTGCACTGGTATCTTTGCCGAGTTCCGTGTGTTTTATTATCTTTTAAAATATAAAATAAATAGAAACTCATTGAACACGTATTTTATATATTCTTAATCTCTCTATATATGGATATATAAATATTTGTATTGTATAAAGGGTAAAATTAAGTTTAATAGTCATATGGAGTCATGTAAAAATGAACAACACTTGCGCAGTAAATAAATATTGAATTTCTATTATACACATCTATATATATATAAATCGGTATTTGTATGTTTGTTTGTTTGTATGTCCGGTATACAAATTCGCAGTAGTTCACTAATTCAAACCAAAATTTCCATACATAGGTAAAATAATACGGGGAAGACGATAGGCTATTTTAAAAAATATATAAAACAATTATTAAAACTATATATTCAAATTATTCTACTTAGCTCACGAACAGCACCCTCTATCAAAGATAAGATTAAATTATGCTGATGCAAACAAATAGATAATGCTAATAACAAACAATTATTTAAAAAATCTCATCTAAATATATATCACTCGGGTAGATATGCACACGGGTCAATCCCGGGGCGAAGCCCGGGTCACCCGTCTAGTTATAATATATTCGTTAATATTTAGCTTTCTCGTCTTTATGTAAATAATGATGTTATTGGATATCAGCCAAGATCCTACGCCCCTTTTTCTCTCTCAATGTTTACAAGACTCTTTGTCATCTTCATATTATTTCTGAGGAATACCCTCCAGATAGAAAAACACTTCCTAAATAAAAGAATATATGCACATATTTATTTCTTTTTTCATTATATTTTTTCCTATGTTTGATATAATGGATATTTTTTTTATGATTATATTTTATTATTATTATCATTCTAAATTGTGACCAGATTATAAAAAAATATTATAACTTTATAAAGATCTCACAAACCCAGATGGCGTTTATTCGAATCATACGATATATAGAAAAATCGTCTTTGATTGAAAAAAATAATAAATATACAGAGAAAGTTAATAAAACGAGATGAAAAGAAGAGAAAATGGAACTTATTTAAAAATAACAATAACAGCTTTAGCGGCTTCAAGAAATTATATTCACTTATGACAGAATATTTGTCTACTATCAACTTAGATAAGAGAGTATAATCGCTGTACACATGAACATATGAAGAGATATTTCAATGCCAATGTTCAATGAAAAATCACATATCGTTCATTGGTTATTTTCACATTGATATGGGGTTCCGGAAAAAAAAACGAAAAAGGTTCTTAGTTGTTAAATTCCACGTTTAGCCGGGAGTGGAAGATCACTGATTAAATGAGAATTTATGTTAAATTACGTATTTATACAAAGGACGAGTGACCCGGGCAACGCCCAGGGTTTACCCAAAGGGCCTGCAGAGACTTTAAAAGTATAGATGGTGGCTTAAAAATCGCAATGGGTATATTCCGATTTCCTAGAAGCAGCATTTCAAGTAAGGATAAGTAAAAATACTTTCTAAGTATAAATTCGTTAATTCGACCATGTTTTGATTTCCAGAACCTATGAAATTACAAACAGTAATTCGACAATACCGATAATTCGACACCTTGCGATAATTCGACCTTGATTTGATTTCCCAATCTCTGGCCTATCAAATAACAAACGGTAATTCGACAATATTAATTATTCACCACTTCTTATAATTCAACCATTTTAAAATGCAAATTTCGACGATTGATGTTTACTTACAACTTTACTAAAAAAAGGTATTATAGATGCGAGCAACGAAACATTTTGAACCCATATAACGCAAATTCATATCCTCACTTATAGGGTGTCAAGCCTAAAGGATGCGAATTCATGTCCCTGATTTCTAAAAATTAACATAAAATTGTAGGCTACCAACGCGAATTCGCGTCTACTGGGATCTTTTCCCATACCTTCTTGCCTATTTATCAGTGGGTTGGGTTGGGGGGGAATGTCAGCTGTCCCAATGTACCTGTAAAATGTCACATGCGACCGAGTTCAAGCAGCCATTATTTTTATTTATTTCAAGCTATATAGATTACATTAAAAGAAAATAGCATTTTTCAAACATGTTATTATATGAACAACTCGATTTTCATACGGCCCACTGGACCATGTAACTCTGGAATCATAAGTGCAAAAACAGACATCCCTAAAGGACTCCTTTAAAATATCTTCATGATTCTTTTTTAATAATATTCTTAAACATTCTTAATTTTTTTTTCATATTTATTAACTTTTCAATATAGAAAATAAGATAACATAAAAGGGATAAATTCATTTAATGGACCTCACTAAAAACTGCATTTCTAGCCGAGTGACCTGGGAAAAGCCCCAGGTTTACCCTAAAGGCCTGCGAATGGGCAGGATAACCATATGTGTGCCATTGCAAAGATCCTAAATCAATGTATAGAGCACTGGGGAAAATAGTTTTTTTTTGCTTATCCCTAGTACACGTGGTACAGGCCATGATAATCATGGTGGGTAGTTAGCGACTGCTTTTACTGTAAGCGCACCACATGTCTACACATGTGAAAAGCAGTTTGACTTTGCACTTACAAATGCCAGAGCCCCGTTTGGTTACTTGCACTCGCTGGTGGGGTTGGACTTTTGCAAGAATCGGGGGCCATTGGAGCATTTTTTTTTTATTTTAACAGAAAAAAGTGCCCAATACGGGAATCGAACCCGGGTCCTAGTGGTCGAAAACCAAACGGTTTACCCAGCCTTCCACCGACCAAAAGTCAAAATAATAATAAATATTTTATGAATGAACAAATAATACAAAAAATTGCTTTCAGGTGAGAAACTATAGGCATTGGTGAAAACTTTAAAAAATTATATTGAAAAAAAAAAAGAAAAATATTAAAAGAAAATTCAATACAACACAACTATATAGCAAATACAGCCATTATTTCTAGCCGAGTGACCCGGCAACGCCCCGGGTTTAGCCTAAAAACATGTGAAGCGCTAGATAACCATATGTGAGCCATTGCAAAGATCCTGAATCAATGTATAGAGCACTGGGGAAAATAGGTAAATAAAGACTAAAAATCAAAATACTTAATTATAAATATTTTATTAGTGAACAACTAATACAAAAAAATCCTTTCAGGTGAGAAACTATAGGCATTGGTTGATGAGGCACAATTTGGATTTTAGATTATAAACAAAAGGTAATAAGACCAAATCCAAATAAATAAATAGTGTGTGACGTTTCGGTAACAGCGTTGTTACCATCTTCAGACAAAAGTACTGAATGGAAAAAAGGAGCCTACAGCACCCGGTGTTCCCAGGTGGTCACCCTCCCAAGTACTGACCGGGCCCGACGTTGCTTAACTTAGGTGATCAGACGAGAACCGGTGTTTTCAACGTGGTATGGCCGTAGGCCATAGTACTTTTGTCTGAAGATGGTAACAACGCTTTTACCGAAACGTCACACACTATTTATTTATTTGGATTTGGTCTTATTACCTTTTGTTTATAGGCATTGGTGAAACTTTAAACATTTTTTTTGGAAATGAAACAAAAAGTAAAAGAAAACAAATCTTAAAAGAAAATTAAATACAACACAACAATATACCAAATTAGACAAAATAAAAGGCATACATTCATTTATTTGAAATGAAAAAAAAAATTAAAAGAAAACAAATCTGAAAATAAAATTGAATACAACACAACTATATAGCAGATAAGACAACATAAAAAGAATAAATTCATTTAAAGGACCTCATTAAAAACTATATTTCTAGTTTTATAAATACGTGGGTTCAACTTTACCCGTATGCTATTCAAAGTTCGCACACGTGAAAAAAACACATAGAGCCGTCCATGAGTAAACACGGGCTCATGTAGCAAGAGACCCACTCTAGCAAAGGTTTGGCCTTGAGCCTTATTGATAGTCATGGCAAAAGCCAACCTTAGTGGAAACTGACGCCTCTTCAGAATGAAGGGAAGGTTGGTATCTGAAGGAGCCAAAGATATTTTTGGCACCAATACAGTTTGTCCGACTTTGGTCCCTGTTAGTATTTGTGCTTCTAGGACATGAGAGCGCATGCGCTGGATAACCATACGTGTGCCATTGCAGAGACCCTGCTTAGGATTCAAATTTCTAAGGAACATAACAATAGCACCAATCTTAAGGTTTAACCGGTGTGGAGGCATTCCTGTGGGAGTAAGGCTATTAAGGAATTCAGTAGGGTAGTTATTTTGTTCCTCCACATTCTCACACTCGACACTGTCAACACTGAGAAAACACTGACTCCTGTTTGGTAAGCGATCCAAAACTTTTTCATTAATCTCTAATGAATCTGTGTTTTTTGGCGTTAAAAGCACAGACTGGCTAAGGGCGGTAATATCACCATAGGAAGAACCAAATATTTCCTGCACCAGGTCAACCCCATGAAAGATACAGCTTTCTGGAAGAGAAATGAGGCCCTGTTGGTCTGTAGGTAGATCATCATCACCAACTTTAAGTAACCATTGAGAGAAGCTCTGTGCATCAATACCTGCTCGCATATTCTGAGTAAGGCGCAAGATCACAAACAATGGCCATAGCTTGCTTTGCTTAATGCAAGCAGCAACAATTTCAGCTCTTGAAGCTCGAGGTACCACAGGTAGCACTTGGCGAAAATCACCTCCAAGAACAACAACCTTTCCGCCAAAAGCAAGGTCACAATGCATAATGTCCTTTAGGAGACGATCCACAATTTCAAGTGCTCTGTAGTGGGCCATAGGAGCCTCATCCCAAATAATTAAGGATGATCTACGAATAAGCTCAGCCTCAGAACTATTGGCCGAGATCGCAGCTACAGAATTCTCAAGCAAGGGAATCGGCAGCTTAAACCTGGAATGGACAGTCTGGCCACCTGACAAAAGGGTAGCCGCTATTCCAGTGGAGGCCAGCGGAATGACAATTTTTCCAACGGCTCTAACACAATGAATTAGGGTGTTATAAACATAAGTCTTGCCCGTACCACCAGGCCCATCAATAAAAAAGCAACGTGGATTTACATTGAGGGAATCAACAATTGTGTCAACAATTGACTTTTGACCTGGTGTAAGGGACCTATACATTTCTGTCCCAATTTGCAGCTCTGCATTAACATCAAGGTGATCCTCTCCTGAATCAAGAAGTGGGGTTAGGGGTGCAGGAAGTCCATAATGGTGGCAACTGAGGTGATTTTCTCTCAGCTGGAATTCAAGCTCTCTGAGAGTCATCTGTTCAGCAGCTGCGTCAGATGTTGCACGAGAAAAGTCCTCACTAAGATACCCCTTGTATTTGGTCCACAGTGATACAGGGTCGGTAGGATTATTGTAGATGAGAATTGTCGCAAAGAGCTGCCGCAGTTGACAAGGCATTTGGAACAAAGCCGCCTCAGCTAAGCATGCATCCCATTCAGAATCATCAGCCAATAATCCACGGCGCTGGGCAGCCTCTTTAAAAGTGGAGCAAACAATATCATCCACAGTTCGCAAATCTTCAAAACTCTGAGCACCTGCAACATGTAATAGTAGAAGCCGGAGGTGGTAACGCTCAGAATCTTTAGGATTCACTGAACACATACGTCCAATGCACAAAGCCCCACCCCGAACTCTAGCACTCCATTGATTCTGCCTGAAAACATAAGCGGAAGGTATGTCTCCATATAAAAGTGATCTTGCGGATACATTAACACAATTGAGCTGAAACCAGGCAGTCAGAGTTGTGCGTCTGCGTGAGGCATTTTCAAGAGCCTGTTCTTCACTACCTTCAACAAAATAGACAGATTGAAAATTAGGTAGATGAACAGCTAAGCGACATATGGTATGCGAGTGAGCATGCAAGCGATATTCAAACATTCGCCACATTGCCTCAGGAGCACTTACATACCGAGCGTCAAGAAAGTTTTTGATTTCATCATGTGCCCTGATTTCCATATCTAATTCTCCAACAGACACTTCCACCTCAGCCCTGTCGTGTCCCTTATATACATACTTGAAAAGATATTTGACACTTTTCACAGAGGCACAGACCTCCACATTAATGTGAGCATTGAACCTAACCAGCAGATAGGGGTTATAGGGAACAACCCAGCGGTTATCCACCTCGTGAGTGCCCACAACTAATGTCTGGCCGTCATCTCGACGTCTGTAGCGAGGATAGCCATTATTGTTAGCCTCAGTCAGCTGCAGGAATGATTTAGGGAAGTCTTTAGTACACTTGCCATCAGACATGCATGGTGAGTGAAGATTGAAGTTTCCACAAGGACCATGAATCATATGTTTACGAACCATGTCATACAGCTGAACCTGCATAGTAGGGCTAGGAATTTCTGCACAAACCAATCTGTCAATGGCATCCCTGTCTCTAGGCTTGTCTTCTTCTCTAAGCATAAACAGCATGTGGGCATGCGGTAAACCGCGTTTTTGGAACTCAACAACATGCACCCGAGCAATGACCACTCCCAATACATGCTGACTTACAATCTCGCGCAGTAATTGTTGTAACTTGAGATTGAAAACTCTAGCCACCAGATCCGGTCTATCAGAAGGATTCTGGTTAGGAAGAAGATTTTCAACAATGTCAGTCCAACGTGGGTTACAGGTAAATGTCACGAATAGGTCAGGTCTTCCAAACTTTCTAACAATGGCCATCGCATCCTGATAGTTTTGTTGCATGGCCCGGGAACTCCCAGGAAAGGAAGATGGAAGAATAAAAATACGGCCTATTCGCACACCCCGAGAATGCTCCTGTTCATGGATATAATCCATCAGACCTTGATATAACTCCACCCTAAGCAGGGACTGATTTTGGCGAATATAGTTCAGGCGATTGCCCTCTGTTTTAACATAGGCATCAACAATATATTGCTGAAATAGTCTCCTGCCATAGTGAATGGGCGAAAAGCCAGGTCTGATGGCCAACCTATAACTATAGAACTGAAGCATGGTAACATGGTTTCTAGTGCTTGTGCGCATGTTTTCTTCATGTAAGATTCCTACTGCCCAACCAGGATCACCGGCAGGAAATAAAAGAGGGTATGTCATTGGGTCACAGTTAGGATTAAGTGGAGAAATACGCACTAAACCACGGTCATGCGGAAAAACAGCAATATCTCTGTTAGAAGGTACATGGCCATCTTGATCAACAAAAATGGCCGCAACTTCACTTACACTTGGCGCATTATATCGGCGAAGATCTCTACAATGATTTTGCCGGATGAGCATCTGAACCTGACACATTTGCCGGTTCTCAATGCGAGCCCGGTGTTCCTCAGCTAGTTCCACCTGGTGCATCTGCCTGTAAGCAGAAGTATACGGATTCACACGCCTAAGCACAGAATCCAAAAGAGTCAATATACCAGGATGGCATTCCAAAGGCCTAGATGCTGCAATGCGTGTATTATTCGCAGCCTCAGAATCCAAAATATAAAGTTGGGCATAAGACGGGGCTCTGTTTTCATGAGGATGAAGGGGCCCAGTCAAATGATAGATCTGTCCATGGATTCTATAACAAAAAGGCCCCTGTCCAGAAAAGACATCAACCTGCGCACCCATGGAGGCAAATACCAAAGAGCTGTTGTAGCTCCGAATGTTGGTCTGGAAGTACTTAGCCTCCACACTGTTTGAAGTCATCAATTCCATCATTTCATATGGAAATGAGGACAAAGTAGGAAGAATAACCTTCCCTTTGTGGCAGCAGGAGCTACCAACAGTTTCGCCAGGGAAATGAAGGGCTGAGCAGTAAGGGCAGACTATATCGAGGCCCCCAATAATATATTCAGTGGGAACAGGAGAAATAGGATTAGGGGCGTTGTTCCTGCGGCGAGTCATATAAGCGCGCCTGGACTGGAGAGCGAGTCTTCCACGGCCTCTGCGAGGCATGATACAGAAGCCGCTGAAAAAAAAAAAGCTAAACTAAAAACCAAGTTGAGCAAATACATGTCAAAATAAATTTAATTTAAAAGATCTCAATATAAACAACATATTAAATTGCACAGTGCAAAAATGTAGAAAATTGTATGTATCATATAACATTTTATCATATAACAAATTAAGTAATCAACAATTGATTATACAAATAAATCATTAGCCTCTTAATGAGAAAAATAAAGATGCCAAAGACATTATGAAAGATACTGCAAAAAGGAATTATGAAAGCCATAAAAAAGAAAACCAGACACAAAAATTGAGCAAAATTTAAAATTAAAAACTATAACAAAGAACCCACAAATTAATTTAATCAGAAATACAATGCCATGTGAAGCAAAAAGCATTTTTTTTAGCACTTTATTTTCAAAAGACCATAAAGACATTGCTGTACAAAATATATATTAGAAATTAGCAAAAGGTGTAATAATAAAAAATAACGTGTTTTAAAAATAACAATTAAAAAAACAACATT